CTAACATAGCAGCTGACACAAGTTATCTTCATAGGTCTGTGCCATGTCATCCCCAAGGTAGCACTAGCTAAGCCAGCCTTGGAGCCACAAGAATTAATATAACTTCGGTGCAGTGCTGTGCTTAGGTTAATTAGCTCTGCTTAGAGAAGGGGAGGGAGGGGAGCTAATAAGCAAGGGCATGCTGCCAGGCTAATGTGATTATACTCTATCCAGGACCTCAGCTAGGATCTCTGCACTGAACTCCTTGCACACGTTCACTTGGAGCCAGTTCAGAAAACTGCAAAGCACAACAGCCTAAAGACACACAAAAGGTGATTTCTTCAACAGTTTCAGATGCTTTGAGGAAAAGGAGAAAGAACAAAAGAGGCACACAGTAGCCCAGATCATGGCCATACCCTCCCAGCTTCTGACAAAAGCAGATGAGGGTTATGCACTGCCACGACTTAAAGCTGCACGTGGGCATTCAATAATACTTCAAAGATTTTCCTTGTGTGAATTTCTTTAAATATTCTGAAGTTCATTAAACTTGAGGCCTTTTCAGTGCCCTGTGGCAGCAGCTCTAAATTTTAATTACTTACCAGAATAAAAAAATCCTTTCTTAAACCTTCTGCCTACTAAGACCCTGTAGTGCTGGTCCGCAGGGAAGGGCAAAGACTGACTATGCCCAGGAGATGGATCCCCAGCTCCCTCTATAGCACTGAGGCACAGTAGTGCTATGGAAAGGACCTTGTGAGATCACAGGTTCAAAGGGTTCAAACCGTCCCCTAATGTGAGTCTTTCACTTCTTCCTTGACAAATACTGGTCCAACATTTGCTTTGTCCTCCAACAAAGACTGTATGTTCCACGTATTATGCTTCAGCCTGTACAATCACTATTTTTTTCCCAGTTGCCAGCATCAAAATCCTCTCTGGTGAGTTCAGGCCAATGACAGCAAGATCAGGACCAAAAACGTTGAGAGCTGGCTTGGACAGCCAGACTATGGATGAATTTGTGCAAGAAGGGCTGCGATAATGGTGACTACACAGCTGTTTCAGGCACTGAGAGATCATGAGTGCTTCTGCAGGATTCAGAAAGCACTTCTGTCTTTAATGCTGCCCCTTGCAATTGTGCTGCAGCAGGTGATTATTAAGAATAATGATACGAATATGTAAGTATCTGCCCAGTTTTAATCTGCGTTTTAAGAACAAGAACTGGATAGACTATTAGGGGAAGGGGAGCAGGGGAACGAATATGGAGAACAGAGAGCTTGGGAGAATACCAAGACAGATCTTGAGTAGAGATGAGGCTCTGGCAGGAGAGATTACAGCTTTGCTGGGCTCTGCAATGCTGACAGCAGCAATTCCTACCTATCATCAGTCATTCTTCTGCATGTACCTGAGAAGATAACGTGGGAGAGCCAAGCCTCTCTGCAGGATGCCTGTTACTGCCTGCATCCTGCTGCGATGGGAGAGTGAAGCCCAGAGCCTCTCCCTGCTTCGATCCAATGAGCATGGCTGCAGTAAGCAGCACAACCACCACTCCCAAAAGCCTCAAGGTTACAGAGCCTATTGGGGAGGATGAGTGTGCGTGTTTGTTTGTGGTGACTTGACATAAATATTAATCCAATTGAGCTTTAGGATTAGAGAAGGAAATTAACAGGGCAACCTGCACCAAGAAGGAAAATAACTTGCACATCAGCCTAGTTTGCTCATCTCCTGGGCCCAAAACACTCTCCTCTTGTGAGCCACAGTTAATGTAGATTGTGTGGCAATGTAGATCGTTTGCAGTCAATGAAAAACTTACATGCTAAGGTTTGAACTGATCCAAGAATATCTGAAAGGGGCCTCAAGCCTCTACTCTTGCTTATGGACCTCCTCTGCCATTACCCTGCACCAGCTCTGGCACTCGCTGGAATGTGCAGCAATTCAGCCTACTGATCTAGCAGAAAACAAAACTAAGCCAGAAGAGAGAAATCAGCTCAGCAGAGAAGCATGAGGAGTAGTGCACCAGAGTGAAACAGCACAGCTGGGAGTAGAGGCAGGGAGCACTGGTGAGAACAGGTGTGAGGCTTCCCATCTGCTCAGAGCTGTGAGGTTCACTTACAAAATGCTACTCTATACCAAGACGTTGGGAAATTTTTTTATCAGATGCCTTTGGGACGGACTGGTAATATTTTCTTATCATATAAATGTTAAAAAAAAAAGGACAGCAGTTAAGGGTGCAAATGTATTTTTGCACCCTAGCTCAGAGACAGGAGTCATCTCCTGAGCCTGCTCTTGTCTCTGCTGTTTGACTGCAGGCAAATCATTTAGGGCAAAACATACTCTGCAATGCAGGACAGAACTTCTAACTTTGCCACTGGGACTGGAAATAAGACAGCCATTTCAGAGTGCCAGAGCTAACGAGCTATTCTGACTCAGAGCTTTTTAGGGATGGCACAGAGCCATGAAGGCTGTGCCACTTCAGCGCCTGAGCTGGTAGGAGTGCTCTGTGCCGCACGGGACTCTCCACTTGTACTCAGGAACCTTGGCACTACACTGATTTGGAGGGTTCAACTTCTGTCTCCAATATCTTCATGGTTCCTATCAACCCGTCAATCCTATATGGCCTCCTTGCCTTGCAGAACCAGCGTGGCATGAAGTTCAGGTGTCTCCTACAGGAGGACATGGGATTTGTCCGAATGAATCTAATCAAGAGTGAAAGATGGGACCAAATCACGCCCTATTTACTGAGACGAGCCTGCAGTTGAAGCCAACAGACAGCACATGTTGTTTTATTCCCCTTCTCAGAAACCCTGTTTGTACAAGAGAAGAACAAGTTGGATTGGCAGAAAAAAAGATCAGTCTGAAACTTCACTACAAGCTCTCTCCCAAACCTTGTCTTGAAGGTTACACAAAGTAAAGTATCTAGCCATTCCCTTCTGTCCTGTTATTATCTCCATTTCTGCCACTCCTCTCCCTCCCCGCTGCCTCCCTTTGGCTACTCCTAGAACAGCTGATAAAATCTCTGCAGCCAGAGCTGCTGCTGAGGTGAGATGCAGAGCCCTGTCTGCAGCCTGAAGGTGTACTCAGCAGCAGCCTCCAAACTGCTCTGTGCTTCTCCCAGTCGACCCTGCCAACTTGTTGAGATTCTTTGCTTATAATATGCTTCAACAGCCACGTTGTCCCATGAGGACTGAACTAAATTGAGTTGCAGGGCTGCAAATCACGAAGCGGCCTCATTTTAATCATGGCTATTCAAGTGCTAAGGAATGCAGAAAGTAAATACATATTTGTTTTTAGACCATCATTTGTCCCATTTGCAAGAGGAAATTGAATGTACTCAGTCCCCGAGGCTTTGTTCTTAAGAGAATACCTTGCAAAATGAACCTGCTATAAACCACTACACATGAAATATATCCTTTGTTAAACCCTCTATCCACTGCTTTTGTCAAAAAGCTCCTCTCCCGAATCTATTAACCCTCTTATTCACATCTCCACAATCTAATCAGGCTTTATTTAACATTTCACACTTCTGCCACCCCAGCTGCAGTCCCCGCTGGCTTTCTGGTGACTGGTTTCCCTGAGCACTGACTAGAATCAAACATCTACGGACGAGTTCTGCCCTTGTCTCCAGACCTGGCTGGGGAAAAAATTGCAGTGCGTCGTCCTGCAGGTGTAAACTTGGCTGCAGCTCGGTTGACCAGGTGGCTGGATTTGCAAATCAGTCCTTGACTTCTATGCTACTTCAAACAAATTTGAATAAATACTCTGCACACACAGATTTTGATCAGCTTGCATTCCTAGTGCTGCAGTGTCCTTCTCTTTGGCATGCCTTCCTCTCAATTAGCCTTAGTCCAGCCAATCTGGAACACAGAAGCAAGAAGTAACCCAGTCCTCCACACATCTTCAAATGGACCTTCTGTTTTAGCTCTAGCTGTGGTTTCAGATATTCCCTATCCTCACAGCATGATTCAGCCTCTGGACTTTGCTTTCAGTCTCTGCTCTACTGCAAGGTCCTCCTGCAGCCCAGCACTGTAATCCCAGTGTCTCAAACTTGTTCTAGCCCATCTTGCCATCCTTTCTCTCACCTCCTTCCAAGCAACAGCTTCAAACTCACCCTTCTTAAGCCAGTGCATGCCAGCCATACTTCACATGATCGAACAATAGCTACCTAGTTTAATCAACAAGAAGCAATGTCAGAATAGGACTAGCACCTCATTCTTCCTCTTCTTAAGTCTTCAGACCAAATGTACCCGTGTAACCCTGACCACAACACCCTTGAGCCCTCCAAGCCCTTACTCTTAGTTACACACAATCATTTTTAACAAGTTCTCCTGTTTTGTGGAGGTGCTGGTTCAGCCAGAACTTGAGGCAGAAGCCCTGCTCACCTGTGTCCTAGAAGGAAAAGTATCACTGCACCACCTGCTGAATCATGGTGAGTGACCCTGTGTGCTCCATAACACCTTACAAACTCACAGCATCACCTTAAACCCACCACCAGGAGCTACTGCTAATTGCAATGGTAATCTGATCAGTGGTGACATTTCTGTCTGTGTCCTACATTATGCAACTCAACAACTGCAATTAATTCCACAGGTACCTGGGGAACCTACCTGGCGCTTCTGAGCTCTGAGCCCTGCTTTGGGTTTGTTACGTAGTTTCACTCATGAGCACTGATGTGATTAATGTGGATACTTTTAATGGAAGTGCTTGCTACACAAATGCTGTACATTCTGAACATTTAGTCAGGATTTCAGAGAGTGACTCAATTTTAGATACCACTGACATTGATAATCTAAAACAGCCAGAGACAAAAAGAATCCCCCACTTGCCCTACTGTTATTCATGCAATCTTGCATCCACTTCCTTCTGAGGTTCTGTTGGGTAAACAAACAGTTATGAGATACCAACAAACTACAGTAGTGACAAAGGCACTGCACTCCCGGCCTCTCACGTGGGTCACTCATAGCCCTGATCTCCTCCAGACGATGCGTAAACCACCCCTAGGTGACATAAGGGTTGCAAAGCCCAGTCCTTACCTTCTCCTGGTACTGACGCCGTGAGGAGTCCAGAGACTGGATTAGGGCTGTGGCATGGCCGATGAACATGGCATAGCAGGTGGCACCGACAATCATGCTCAGCATAGTGAGCCATACATCAGACATGCCAACGGGTGCCTGCTGCCCATACCCAATGCAGAGCATGTGACTCATTGCCTTGAACAGCGCATAGGAATACTGCTTCCCCCAGGAGTCATTCTGAAGAGACAGATAGACAGACAAAGCTTTAGCAGTGGGACAAGACATTCACTGAGATGAACACATTTCAGAAAACGATACCTAACGTTAGACTCAAAGTCCATATTCAAAGCACCTCTATGTTTTAAACAAACGATGTGATGGCTTAGAAGTGTTGGGCACACTGGATATACGTACAAACCCTACATTTAGTCATCTGACAGTAGCTGACTTTGGTCAGGGTTTTTACAGATTCCATGCATTCTTTCCAGCACAGCTTTCAGAAAGAAATCCTGACTGATGCTTTCCTAACCTGGGATACACTGAGATGATGCATAGCAATGTGTTCAAAATGACCCACGTGTGGGAAAAGGGACTGATGCAAATGGTCACTGCACTGAGAAATGGATTTTTCAAAGAACTGCTAGAAGAGAGCCTGAGCAAGCCTTCCAGCAGTGAGGTCTTAAAGCAAGAAAAATCATTTACTCCCCATGTCTGGGTCTCTGGTCATTACCTGAAGAGAGGGGAGGGCAGAAAATTAAGATGATAATGGCAGAGAGTTCTTTGCAGGGTCAAACTGGGCCTCTTCAGGGAGCTGAACAAACTAGAAAAGGCTTCATTTGAGAGATGAAATAAACCACAGTGAGAAGCCAGCTGAAGTCAATGGCTTCCTTCAGACATGCTGTGCTCTCCCACCACAATGAACAGCAGAAGCACCTCAGTGATTACATCATGCAAAAGGGAAAAAAACAGAACATAAGTTTCAGGACTACTCTGATTAGTTTGAGCTCATGGAACAGCAAAGGTACATTCACTATCTTGTGGGTATTCTATGCTAGCAAGTCCTTGCCACAAAACCTTGTAAAGTAAATGCAACTGTCATCACACACTGCTATTACAAGATGTGTGAAAAAATATCACTGCTACAGTGATATTCATCGCAGCACATAATCTGTACATTCATCAGTCTTCTTCCTGTTCCTAGGAAGGTGCTGGATATACACTTGGATATAGCAGTGCAGATACATACAGCACAGCAACTCAGAAGGTCGTTGTGCAGAAGACCTGGTTTGGGGCTCATCAGATAGGTGAGCAATACTTCTGTGAACTCCATTCAGAGAGACACAGCAGGCTCAGCATGGTGACCTGCAATGCGGGAAGCCCTGGAGTTTACTGGATGCCTCCCTGGAGGGATCTTATCACAATCCGGTGGATGGCTGATGACCTGTCTACAAAAACCAGCTCTCTGGGTGTCACTAATGTTGATGGAAATTTTTCAGTAAGCTGACAAGTAGTAAACAGAACCAAAGAGCACTGTTAATGTTTGTGAGCTGTGGCAAAGAGCTGGAACCTCTGGTCGGTGTTAATGCTTGTGTGGGAGATAAGCACGTGGACGAAGACAGGAGACAGTGTTACCTTAGCCATATCCAGTTACATTATGCAAGCGGGCCTGATTCACACTGCAACAAGAAGGGCAAAGCAACAGAAGTGACAGCAAAGCGGACACAGAAGCAGCAGCACATCCAGTGTCCCAGGGGGGACGGCTCCCTACTGGCGCCAGCCTGTCTGGGCTCACCTCCCTAACAAAGCAGGAGCCAGCTCACCTCCTGCACTGGAAAAATCTCCCCCTGAGCCCACAGAAAAGATAACGTGGCCTTTGGGTCTCTATTCCTGGGACTGCAGATGGCCTGCCCCTGTGTGTGAGAAAAGCTGCAGCCCAAAGGGGGAGTCAGCTACAGGAGAAGGCAAAGAACACCGGTACTCTGATGCCTACACAGGGCTGAATGCAGCTCCCTGAGAGAAGCCTGACAAGGCAAGCAGAAGAGTCAGTCCCAGCACCAAACACAAACTGAGAAAAGCAGCAATCCACGACACAGTGGTTAAGCATGCCTCAGCCTGCCTTTCTATTACAGAGCCAATAGCTAAGTCTGGCAGACAGAGGTGTGTACTTGGCTTGATGGAGAGGAGTGTGATTTCTTCTCCTCTTGCCCTCTCAGGCCAGTTCTACTTCTTAGCCAGAAGGTTCTCAAAACAAATACCTTTCCCATGGTACCGTGGAAATGCTGCTGCCTTCTGAGTTCAGTGTGGCAGTAGTTTAACAGGGCAGCACATCTCTGTAACAGAATTGAGGGCAGGGAGAAAAAGAAACGCTGAAATTCCAAAGGGAATCTGGGAAGACAGAAAAAGATCAGCTGAGCTGGTTGCTCAGACATCAGGAACCTGGCTGCCAGGGTTTTTCATGACTGTGAATGATCAAAGAGCAGAGTCTGGGCATCAGTCAGGTTCAAGTTCTGAGAGTCATTCTAGCAACTTGCTGTTCAGGAGCAGGCAAGTCACTAAACCACCCTGGATTTGGTTCCCGCCTGTGTAAGCAGGAGCCAACAGTTCCCAATAAACTTTTGGGTGTGGGAGGCTTGCAATGTAGAAATTAGTCATCCAAACCCATGATGTCCAATACCAACAAGCCCCAGCAGCCATCAGAAACACTTCCAGCTCCCTGAGAACTCTGTAGTTATGAGCAATGACCTCAGTTTCCATCAGCATCATGGCTCCCTGTGAGGACAGCCTGCTTTGTGCCAGGCTGAGTAATGACAGGCTGAGGGGCGAGAACTGGAGAAAACACAGGGTGCTTACAATGGTCCTGAGCAGCTTGGCCTGCCGGGAGGAGAGATCAAGGACTGCTAAAACGGAGGCAATTCCATGAAAGAAGAACCTTCCAAGGCAATTATCTTTAGGACACAACCTCTAAGCATCTGTAAGGAGCACTGGATCCTCACAGCACAGTCTTTGAGATTACTCTTTCCTTAGAAGTCTGAGTATATCTTTATTTTTCAAACCTACTCTACACCCTTTCGTTTCCCACAGAATAAACAGGCAGGCCAAGAATGCAATACAGAGAAGCAGCATTGGTTCCAAATGTGGTCACAAGCTTATCAACATCACAGTGCCCTGTACTGATACAGCTTGCCCCTATACCAAACCAGCCCCTGTAGTAGAGGACTATACTACAAATACACCCTAGTGGCTAAAATGATCCATTAAGGTAGATAAATGAGGCCCTCAAACTGCAGAAAGAACATGGCTCCTCCTTAACCAAATCTCAAAGCAAGCTAAAATGGAGCTATAGATCTGTGCTTGAACATCGTCAAGAGGGATGTTATCTCCAGCGCACGCCAGGCACTGTGAGCATTTGCAAATGGGAGTTAAAATTGCTTTGAAGTGGTTTCTCAAACTAGCTCGTTTTTAACACCCACACTGGCAGGACTATAAGGGTTTCTTCGGGATTAAGTGTCTGGACTTCAATGCCTCTGCTCGTATCTCCACTCTTGAATACTTGGAAGCACACTGCTGAAACTCTTCAAAGGCAGCACTGGAATCAGCAGTACCTTAGAGAAGCACCTAAAGAAACAGGACAAGGTCTCATAGGATTTTGCTTGATCAGAGGAACATGTGAGTGCATCTGGCTGAACCCCCACCAGACAGGACTAAGGAGAGCAGCAGAAAACCTGGAAAGTACTGGTAAATTCTTGGTGTGGAGGCACAATCCATGGGCACACCATTATGCCTGCCATATACACCGCTACCATTTCTGAGTTTTAAGAGCCTGTCTGTAGTGAAAGAGTATTTTACTCAGCAACCAACCCCCTTCCATATATAATCCTAGTCAGATGAGCTGCAGTTTACAGGCAGTTCAGACCTGAGACCATCAGCCCAGACAAACAGGGCTCGAGTACACTTTGTGAACTCCCACATTTGGCTCAGCAATGATCTTACGTGCCCTCAGAGCAAACTCTGTGTTTGCTGCTGCACGCCATTTGTGCTGTGCTGCAGAATGAAGGCCTCTGAGCATCACTGCCCTCCCCTGGACAGCACCACAACTGCTAGGCAGGGAAAACACCTTCAGATGGGGTTTAGAGGACAGCAGCAGTGGGACCAGAAATGAAGATGATGGGACAGACTTCATATTGGATAGCACCTGCCTGTTCTGGGCTTATTTCCAGGGTGAGCTTTTGCATGGCCTTCACTTTATAGAAGATTTTCTCAGGACTTTGAGTGCACCAGAAAATCTTCATTGCCCCAGGTCTCTGTGGGATCCCCTTTCATGACCCCAGTGTTCTCCACCCAGTCACCCAGTCCTTGTCTGAGCCTTGTCAGGGCTGTACGCCTGCCCAGCCCCAAACCCTAGCAGGCCTTGAATTTTGCTGTAGCCTCTGGTCCCTTATCTTGCTGCTCCTAACTGGACTCTGTGGATGGATGCTGGACGTTATGGTTATCACCCTGCCTTTTCTGGAATAGTCAATGGACCCTTTAATCACCAATTCTGCTCTGCCTACCCTCTTTAGGTCCAGCTGCTCAGGGCACTGTGCTGGAGTCACCCTTGCTTCCTGGCTCGTACACTATCGTGGAGCAGCCCTACCCTTGCAGCTGCTCCCTGACAGATTCTATAAAACATGAACAGCTACTGCACAGCTTCATAAGCCTACCGAGTGAGAGTGTGAGGGAGCTGCTGGACCTGAGGCTTGGAGAGAGTTGGGAATCACCCAGAAGATCATGCCAGACCGTTCTGTCTTCCGCCCTACATGCTGCACCAGCTTCTCTTCCTACTTTCCATCAGCAACACCAAAAAATGTGTCATGGGTTGGAGGTGCAGAACATTTTCTGAACATGAGCCAGCAGTGCGCTCTGGCAGCTCGAAAGGCAAATGGGATCCTGGGCTCCATCAGGAGAGGGGTGGTCAGCAGGGACAGGGAGGTGATTGTCCCTCTCTACTCGGCTCTTGTGAGGCCCCATCTGGAGTACTGTGTCCAGGTGTGGAGCCCTCAGTACAAGAAAGACATTGAGATTTTGGAAAGGGTCCAGAGGAGGGCGACTAAGATGATCAGGGGGCTGGAGCACCTCCCCTATGAGGACAGGCTGAGGGAGTTGGGCTTGTTCAGCCTGGAGAAGAGAAGGCTGCGGGGTGACCTCATTGCAGCCTATCAATACCTGAAGGGAACCTACACCCACGAGGGGAGTAAACTCTTCAAAAGGGCTGACAACAGCAGGACTAGGGGAAATGGATCGAAGTTGAAGGAGGGAAGATTTAGGTTGGATGTTAGGGGGAAGTTCTATACAAGGAGAGTGGTTAGGCCCTGGAACGGGCTGCCCAGGGAGGTTGTGGATGCCCCGTCCTTGGATGTGTTTAAGGCCAGGTTGGACAGGGTCCTGGGCAACCTGATCTGAATGTGTGTGTTTGGTGGCCCTGCTAGGCGGGGGGGTTGGAGCTACGTGATCCTTGAGGTCCCTTCCAACCCGGGTGATTCTGTGATTCTGTGATTCTGTGATTCTGGTATGCTCAAAGGGGGAGCTACTCTCCTTCTCGTAGAAGGGAAGATGATTAGTATTTCCTATGCAAGGTCGCCGCATTTGACATGGGGATATTTGCCTTCCCTGCTGAGTTTATCAGTTCAGCACAACACCCAGGAGAGCAAGCCACGTGTTTCCAGCAGCTTTCAGGTCTCAGCAGAGCTCAGATTTCTCCGACGAGGAGCTGCCAGGCAAGGGTCATCGTGGGGAGATGCTGCTGCCTGCACATATGCCTCCCTGGAGCTGACTCACAAGCGTTTCCCTTTTTAATAAAGTGCCCTGTAGGGAAGCTAGCACCAAAGCCCCTGAGATTGGGGCTGAGCAAGTAATACCAAAAACATCCATCCCTGCCATTTCAGAGACAGTTCAGAAAGAAGAAAAAGATAGTCATTCCTACAATTGCTGAAGATGAAGGATGGAATGCAGAGAAAATAACAAGATGAACCGGACCCAGGGATTTATCGAGCCCCTGATATGATTTTGGCAACATCAGATGCTTCACAGATCCCCTGGAAGAGGATCAAACCTTTAGAAAGCAGATGGGAGGTGATGAATCTTCTTTTCCCACTGCATCGGAGTCAGAGCTGTTTTATGGACTGCCAAGCAGCTAGGTGGGAAACTGGCGAGGGAGTTAGGAGGAGAAAGCCCACAAAGCATTTGGCATCTCTTGTTCACCTCCCCTCAGATGCAGCAGCTTCACAACTCATTTTTTTTAACCTACAGTGGTAAGCTGTTTGGTTCTTGCATGCAATCATGGCAGTTGTGCACCAAGAATACTTCTCCCCTCACAGCTGTGACCAGGTCAGAACTAAAAGACCCCAAATCCAACTTACCAACTGGCACCAACAGAAGCCATGCTGACTTCCCACCTGCGCCCATCACATCTCACACAAAGCCATTCTGCAAACCAATACCCCTGCACCAAAGCCTGAGGACAGCCCTGGTTTATTGCTGTTTATTGCTGTTTCCTGACTCTCCCATTATTTCACAATAGACTATATGGAAATTGTTGCACTAATTACGCCGTCCACTTCCATCTCTAGTCAAGAGGCCACCACTGACACATTTGGAAGTCTTCTCAGGAGATAAGAGAACAGAACTTTATTGTGAGAAGAAACTCTCTGATTCCATATATTCTTTTTTAAAACGTTCATAAGTTATTTTGGGGCTGGCATTTTCCAGAACAACTTTGGAATAGAAGCCACCTAAATGATAGGTGGAACGCATAACCATCTCTCCAGTTCTTCATCCCATTTTCCTGAGATTCCGTTTCTGAGACAGTCACTGAGATCATCACTTTTTTCACTTTTATGAAGTGAAAAAAATTAAGGTGACTTAACGGCAGACGAGAAGCTCAGGAAAAAAAAAATAAATCACACAAGGCAAATTTAATTCCCAGCTTCACAGGATGGGAAGACAAGTACTGCAGCACAAGTACTTGCCTGGCATAGTCCTGCTCTGAATAGAAAGTTTCTATCCTGCCTCCTGGAGATTCTGCTGAGCACTCTGCATCCTTCCCCCTCTGTCCTCAGACTTGCAGCTAAGAAAGGTGCACAGGCTAAGCAGTAAGAATATGAGGTGGTAATCCTTTGTTGTGGTTGTCACCCAGGCTTTCAATGCACAAAAACATATGCTCAATGATCATTTGGTTAGCAAGCAGTTTTTCAGCCAGAAGACCGGACCAAGTAAGTGGAAAGAGGAGGAATTATTAGGGTCTAGTACACAAGAAATAAGGAAACATGGCTCAAATCTGCTGCTCCAAAACTGTTGTGCAAGGACTCCACGGCCAAGTCACTTCATCTGATGGGGATGATTTGTCTGCAGCTCTCCAGGACAAGGAGCTGTATGTCCTTTTGAACCCAAATAGCACAAGCACACTGGGGCCCTGATCTTTCATTGCTCCTGTCATATAAATAATAAAAAAGCAGCACAGGGAAGACAGGGCAGCTGCTGCATGGGTTGTTCTTCTGATGCAGATAAATAAAGGGCTGTAGTCTCCAGAACTGTCAGTCTGACACCTTTCAACAGCAGGAAACAAACGATTATTGCAGAGGGAAGAAATACACAAACAAACACCCCAAACAGAGGACTTCTGACAGCTGCTCACTCATCTCAGGCAGGGGCAGCATGGGCCCACAGCTCTGCATGTGGAAGCCATGGAAGCTGGCAGTTCTTTTATACATTTTGCATTGGTTCTGTTCTGCCCAAGTGCCTGATATTATTATTATTATTTTTTTAAAGAAGAAATTGGCTGGGGGAATCTAGAGGTTAAGAGCTGCAGTAAGAGGCAATTTTTTAGGCTTTGTCAGTTTTTGCTGCTAAATCAACTGGACATTGTCCCTTTGAATAAAAGATCCTGAATTCTCAGTGAGATGGCTGAAAAGTACCATGAAATCCCTGCGCACGTACCATATGGTATAAATCTCCCTCACAGCAACAGTGCACAGCTTGGGACCTCACTGGGAAGTCTGGCCATTGTTCCTACAAGGGGAGGCCGAACCGTGGCATGGCAGTCTGCTTCAGCCCACTTCATTGCAATACTGATCACACTCATCCTTCAAGTGGATATGGAGCAGCTGGCTGAGCAGTTTCCTTGAGGCCAGCCATGGGAATTAGCACCTTATGGATCAGACCCAGCCAGGGCTCCAGGACCCCCATTTGGCTCAATATGCCCAGATCTCAGTGGAAAGACACCTTAACTCTTGCTCTTTGCTGTCTCCTGCCAGGAGGGGGAGCCTGGCTCTTGCCTTCTACTGCAGGGGCTCTGTTGCCTGGTTTCTACTCTGCAGTCCTGTTGTTGAAATTGCCCCCAGGGAGTCCCCTCGCCCAAAGTGGCTTTACCAGTGCCTGCTGGATAGCGGAGAAAGGCTCTAAAAGGATGCAGCAGAAGATGGGGAACTGAAAGGTGATGCTGTGAGCAGTGGCTTGGGGATACAAGGGGCAAGCACTTACCACCATGCGGTTGAGGGATACCCAGCAATCATCAGGGAAGTCCTGCAGCATAGGCACGAGGAACTGGAGGCAGCCATCCCAGTGACACAGCAGCAGCATCATCCCAATCAGGTTCACAATCCGCACAACTGCACTGGCCAGATCGTAGGTCATGTGGAAGATCTGCACGGACAACCAGGAGCAGATTAGATGGCAGCTCCCCAACCAACCCAGCAAAATTAGATGCAGTATCAGGGTCAAGAGCCTTGCTAACGTAACAGGAAAGGCTGCATCAGCCTAGCTCAGGTCAGTCACTGTATGTGAGCAGAACCAGCTGAAAAACAGATTAAAAACCAAAATACAAAACTGTATTCACTCACCCCTCTTGCCCTTTGATTTCTGCCTTCAATTTACATTGAAGGCTCCATAACTCCTCTTACAGAAGATATTGGTTGCAAATATTTCCAGAACATCGGCCACGCCTCAGAAATAAACTCCATCATAACATCTTTTTAACCGCAGTGACCTTCTTTGATTTCTGCTCCTGCTGAATACATGTGATGCACTGACCAATGGCAGAAGTTATCTTTTTACTGGATGTTCGATGCAGTCTCTGGAAGCATCAAATGTAGGAAAGAATGGCCCTCAACTCGGCAGAGGCTCCTAGAAGAGGTTGCGATGCAACTTTTTTTTTGTACCAGCTGCTGCATCACTTCAGTGTGACATGAAGGAAAGGAAATGGTGCTTACATGAAGCAGAAGAAAAAGAAAAAATGCCAGAGCTATTAGGCAGCTCTTAGCAAGGACACTCAGAAACCTGATGAAAAGGAATGGCAACCAGAGCTCTGCAGCTAGCTCTCTAGTGCCAAGGCTGTTGACAGCCCTCTTGTCCATAGTACTAGTCAGAAGCAGGACACACTGTGGAAACTGGGTGTTCCATCACCGAAGTCACGTTTGCAGTCAGGAATTACTTGATGGATTACTATTTTGGGGGACGTGTACTGTGGAGACATTGTAAGTGCTTGGCTCCTTTATGCCCAGCTTTGTGATGGCAGCTAGACACACTGGGCATGCCAGCAAGTTCTGTTCTATGCTACATATCTGCCCAGGTTTGGCTTCTCTTACCTTCCAATATGTCACAGTGAGAAAGGAGAGCTTGGTTCTGGAGAGCACGGTCACCCTATGTGACTCAGCACAGAGGCCACTTTTGGTCTCTCTTCCCATTAACACAGTTGATGAAGGGAGCATCTGGATGCAGCCTTGAGGTTCCGGTCAAAAACTCAATGCAGGACAGGCTTTGCCCCATCTGCAGCACCCAGAGCAGATCAACACAGCCATGGACTCAATGTAGCTGCTCTGAGCTGCAGAATCTGATGATTAATGCATGCCTCTACAGGAGAGAGCATCCCCTCCAGTGAAAATGGATTGCAGGGACACACAAAGAAGACAGCTCGATCACCCACCACGAGGCAAATGCTCTCACTTCAACATCACCCTGAAAACAGAGACCCCAACACACCTGACATTCTCTCCCATGTGGCAAATCAAAGAAGGATGGAGGCCTGACAGCCACATTCCATGGCTTCCTGCCCTAGAGCTCTGCCTGGAGAAATGGTAATCACTGCTCCCCTCACACAGCAATGCTGCTGCTGCTGCTGGAGGAATGAAATATGTGGACAGCTGTGTGTGAATGAAGCAGACAGACTCACGGCTGTCAGCTGGGTCATCTCCAGAGACCTCCCCATGGTTTGAAAGCACACGCAGCCTGGCTGCTTTGCATCTTAGCCTGCAATCTGGTAACACAGTGTCTTAGTTGGATTTAATAGAAGGAAACAAAAAGCAGAGGAATGTGGGGAATAAACACAACTACTGCAAACCAGATGAGGCTGCACAGCCCAGCCCCATTGCCACGTCTCCATCCTTACCTAAACCAGTGACCAAAACTGCAGGGAGAAGCGTGCCAGCACTTCCTGAGAGCTGAACAACTCCAGAGCCCCTGTGCAGAAAGGTGGCCACATTCAGTGGGTGGCTCAGCTGCTGAGAATCCCCTCCGCAGGGGAAAGTGATTACCAAGAGGCTGCCCGTGCATCAGGGAAGTATCTGAAGTGGGTGATCTGGCCACAGGCAGCTATGTGCCTGCATGGCTAGCTGTAACCACGTAACTGCTTGCTGCTCTTAACCGAGTGGTCTCTGCAGCTACTCCCAGCAGTACCTGCCACTCTTGCCAATATCAGGGCCTGGCCTCTGCTCCTACAGTGAATCAGTTCAAGCAGCTAAGAAGGCAAAAAGCTGGTGTTATGAAGGAATGCTTATCAGTTTAGCTCCCTAAATTGGCTCATTGCTCTGTTGTCAGAGCTAGCTGTTCAATTTCAATGCTTGTTTCCACACCAGACATTAACACTCCTCTACCTAATCAAGATGCCATGAAGTTGTATGCATTAGAAGCTGATGTGCTCAATCCTGACCAGGAGGGAGCCACAGAAGAATGCTGGGAACCAGAATGATGAATGCTGTGGATAACAGCTTCTAAACCCCATTATCTCCACTGCATCCAAGGTGCAGCTGGAGTCCACAGTGTCCCTTAGCATGAGAAAGGCCATTCTAATGATATTTCTGAGCTGAAAAGAAGAAAATATCCAAAATCCAGCATGAAAGGCTGTTCTAAGAAATCCGACTCTCAGTGCTGACTCAATAGGTCAGTATGAAAGCTGAACACATAATTCATAAAAAATAATTTTTACTGGTTTCACCTTTTTTTTTTTTCCCCAATCACAGAAACAATCATTCTCACTTAGATAACCCAAGGTGAATCCAGCCTATTTGAGTGACAGCCACGGGCTAGGCTTATAATGAAGCCAGAGCAGCAGTTTGCAGATGGATTGCCCAGCAGATCTTATGCATTATCAGGGTTTTACTGTGCCAGCGTCCTCTCCTCTCCCATCTATGCACAGTTTTCAATGATTTCCAACACTCCCATAGCCCAGGGAACTCCAGCCAGGGACAAGGAGAGACCCTATCAGGTTTAGGAAGTGCCTTTCTCCCTTTACTATATTATAAGTAGTGAAATGGATGCTATAGAGGAAACATAGATGGAAATGGAGCTTATTCTATGCTTGGGATGTATTCTGGTCAGGCTAGGGCAGCAAGCCTTTATTCTACTGCATCAACAAAGGTGCTTAGCTTCTGCCATGTGGTCCTGCTGCCTCCTCTCAAACACTAAAGGGTGAACTCAGCTCACCTGCTGTGGGACTGGAGATTGAAACACACCTCCTGAAGGCAAGATACCTGGCTTGCAGCACTTGTGGACCTGAGAAGGAAGCAGTGCACCTCAGAAGTCCTGCTTCTCTCTGCTACCTGTAAAGTGAGCTGGCTAATGAACTCCAGCTGTAAACGTCTGAACCACGGGTGACACAAATCCCATTTCAAATGTCAGTCACAGGAGCTACCAGCTCATTCCTACTCCTTGAAATAGATTTGCATTCACCTGCAAGAGAAAAATAGGAAGCACTCGTCCTACATCATATAGGAATAACTGTGCAGGAGTAGAATGAACACCTTTCCACTGAGAAGTTCCTGCTGTAAATAGATCCCCATACAGCAGGGAATACTAAATCCAGGAATGTGCTGCAAAGGGTCTCAGCCAGGGCTGCAGTGCAATCTATAAGCAATCTACAGCTCACCAGGGAGAGATGGGAGAAACATTCTAGAACGGTTGAACCAGAAGCAAAGGAACATGAGTGGTAATTGGTACTTCTCTGCTTTTCCTCATTAACACTCAGGGCTTTATTGTCCTGTCATATCATAACCCCAGCTGGGTCCCAGGGCATCACACTTCCTTCCCTGGAACTGCTGGTGCTTTCCAGCTTTCAGCTGTTTGTGATTTGGAAAAAGAGGGTGAGGAGGAGGAGAAGGAGGAGGAGGAAGCACGGATTCAAGTTTAGAAGCACCTGCTTCCAAGGGCTTTTTCTGATAGAGCCAATAGTTCTGTTATTGGTTATCCAAAACAAACAGAATCTCTGCTATAAAGGTGGCTTTGTGCCTCTGGCCCAAGGGCTCCTTGCAGCACTTGCTAAAAGGACAGCTTGGGAAAAGTGGAAGGACCAAAATCTTTCCTCAACAAAATCATCTCTAGGCTCCATCATGAAAATCCAGCTTATACTGTACAAGCAACCTATCAGCATCCTAAGAGTATGAATCTGAAATCCTGTCAGCCCCAAATAAATGTGCAGCATTCCTCACTTGGCTCTGTAATGCAATGCGATTCCTCTGTCCTGAACATTTGAGCTGGAAGAAATCAAAGACACCTCAGAGAGATGGGAATCTGGCTCTAGCAGTGACAGAAGGGCATTGAGTCAAGTCGAAGTTGTACATTTGATCGTTGCATGTTGGCATATAACTCACTGTGGCTATCCAAACCAACAGTCAATAGAATTTCTTAGTTCCCTGAAAGCAACATTGCATCAGTGTGCCTGTCTGTTTCAGGTCTGCAGCTGCAGGTCCCTGTTGGCTCTGCACGTACTGGAGATGCTGTGTGTGAAACAAAAGGGTTTTCCTGTGGGCCTGGGGACTGCCATACAGAGGTGTAGCAATGATTCTGTTCAGAGCCAGCGTGGCTGAGCTGGAGCTAGACACCCTGCCAGACACAGCTAGCAGCAGGCATCGTCACTCAGCTGAATGCTGGCTCTGCACAGAGCTGCCTTGCATCCACCAGGCTTACAAACAGATTCTGCGCCACAGGAGAGCAGTGAAACTGCTTGTTACCTTTCACTACCTCTACAGGCAATATAGCAGGATTTCTGTAGCACTGCATCCAAACTAAGAAAGCCTGCTGGTCCCAAGCCAGTTCTGGTGTCTGCAGCCACACCACAGATAATGCAAACTGTGATAAATCCCCTGTGGGTAATCAAGTACCTGTGACAGTGCTCCACCTTCATGGAAAGCAAAGAACCTACACTTTAATTTATGGCTTAAAAATCAAAAGACCTTAAAAAATCTCAAAAGAGAACTAAAACAGTATCATCTACTATTCTGAGTACGCTAGGGGGCAGAGTTAAGGTTGTTCTGTTATGAGGAAATACGCATTTCCACTCACACTAAGACTCCTTGTGGACTCTACAGAAGCAAGTTGAGATGTCTTTTATTCTTCTTTCCTGTGCTTGACTTTTGTATGTAACAGAGGTGAAG